ATATATCCCAACTCCCCACCACAACCATCTATTTCTCTCCCCCTCTCTCTTTCTGTATATCTCTCTCTCTCTATCTTTCTAATGTCACGCAATCCGCTAGAAAAACAGATTGAACAATCGAAAAATAAATCCAAAGTTAAATTAGCCACTAGCTAAAGCAGAAATGAAGCAAACTTATATATATTTGATGCAAAAAATGCTAACGAAATTCGTTTTCTGATAAAAACCATCCGGCAAATACACAAGAAAGCAACTGAAAATAAATCATAAATTCAAAAATTCAAAAATTCCAAAATCTAAATCCAAATCCAAATGAGAAATCACGCAAAATTGAGACAAAAAAAAATCCAATCCAATTCAATTCAATAAAAACTCGTTGTCCTTGGGCTAATGCGACGTTTTCTGACTTTCTTCCCCACTTTGTCGTCAGGTAAACTGACGACAAATGCTACAACTACTACTACAACAATAAACAACAACTTGATTACCAACAACAACAACAACAACTACGATTACTCTCTACCAACCAAAAACAACAACTCAAAAACAACTCCAACTACAACTCCATCACCACCAACAACAACAACTCCAACTCGACCTACAGCCATCACAAGTGCCTCCGGCATCTGTGGCCTTAACCTCTCCACATTTGCAGCCAACGGGAGCAGCAGCAGCGGCAGCAACGGCGGCCTCTCGGTGACCGCCCTGCTGCCCCAGCAGCAGCAGCAGCAACAACAGCAGCAGCAGCAGCAACACCAGATGTCGCAGCAGCAACAGCAACAGGCGAACAACTCCAACAGCGGTCAACAACAGCAGCACCAGCAGCACCAGCAGCAGGCCAACGGAATCCTTGCCTGCAGCACGCCCACGCCCAACACGCCCACCACCCAACAGCAGATGTTTGCCGCGGTAATGGCCAACATGGCGGCCTCAGCGGCATCCGCATCCGCATCCGCATCGACGAGCGGCAGTGCCAACAGCTCGCTGAACAACTCCAGCTCGGCCTTGAACACCTCAGGCGGCAACGGCGGCGGCGGCGGCGGCGGCGGTGGAGGCGGAGGTGGACTCAACAGCGCGGTCAGCGGCGGCGATGACTTCCGATGCAGTCCGTGCAACAAGAACTTAAGCTCCCTCACCCGCCTCAAGCGGCACATCCAGAATGTCCATATGCGCCCCACCAAGGAGCCCGTGTGCAACATCTGCAAGCGCGTCTACAGCTCATTGAACAGCCTGCGCAACCACAAGAGCATTTACCATCGCAACCTCAAGCAGCCGAAGCAGGAGCCAGGCGCCGGCGGAGCAACACAAGCCACGGCCAATAGCTTCTACCATCAGCAGCACCAGCAGCAGCAACTGAATCACCACTCCTCCTCATAGGGCTTCATGTACTTCGACTACCACCAGCAGCATCCGCAGCAGGCTCCGCAGCAGCAGCGGCACCACCACCACCACAACCCGCACCCGCATCCGCACTCGCATCCGCACCCGCATCCGCAACACAGAGGGTTCTCCAGTTGAGGGGGAGCAGGTTTTTGTTAAGTTTGAATGAACTGAATGTCAAGCATATGTAGGTGTAAGGCATAGGAACCCACACACACACACAACCAGACACAAGACGGTGCTTTTTGTACACATTAACTATTAAAGACCAGGACTTAAACAAAAAAAAAAAAGGATGAGCACACTCACAAAAACACAGTCTAAGCTAGTTACAATTAGTTGCCTTCGGTAGTTGCTAAGCACAGGATACACAGTTTATACAGAGTAAATTGATAGCCGTTAATAACCCTAAGGTAGCCCAAAAGAAAACCTCTCCCCCCCCCCTGTAAAGTTTCCAAAAGTTATGACCTTCCCACTTTCCCACTTTTCCCGAAACCCCATCCAATCCAATCCCATTTCACTCTTTGTCGTCAGCTATACAAGTCTTAATACCGTTAAGTAGGAGCTAACAGAGGTGCCCGTAGTGAATTCTTCGAAATGGCTTTAACTAAATACAATTTATCCGATGGACAGCATATTCTGTATACACCTTATGATAGGCACAAATCGTATATCGATTTCAATGGGGGGATATGCAAAGCGTTAGACGTATGAATTATCTCTCTCTGCACGTTACATATTAAAATAAAGACCAAGCTGCAGTTTTTTTTACCTTTTACTTAGTATATACACACATAAATATATATAATGTTGAAGAGTTACGATTTATAGAGGTAGTTTAGGAGTTTACGAGAAGAAGAAGATGAAGAAGAAGAAGCGATGAGCGAGAGGGAGCGACCGACCGAACGACCGACCAATTGCAAAGATCTTTTCTATAGTACTCTAAACTAGTTATCAAATTCTAAATAGTTAGGGTTAAGAGCACAACAAGAAACACCCACACACACACACACAAACACCCATGCACACACAGAAATCACGATGCATATGTATGTCTAGACTAAGAAAAATGTTTAACCATAGTCTACCATTTTTTTTTGCATTTTTTTGTATATTTAATGTTAGTTATGCGAATATTGAATAATTATACCGAAATGTTTGACCGGATACTTCGATGAGTAAACCTGTGTTCGTTAATTTTTAGTGCTGCTAAGTAAAGATACAGACACATGTATGTGCGTAAGACCTATGAATACAAGCAAATATATATATATATACATATAAACACCACACACATACCCACACAACCACAAGCCACAAGCAGTTGAGATCCATGTATGATATGAAGCGATTGCGGTTCTGTGCGAAGAACTTCACTTTCTATTCTAATTCAATTCATGATAATTACAATAAACGTCTACACATCAAAGCGATATTTCATTTACCACGCCCCCGCTCCTGAGGTCACAAACCCCCTCCCCCCCAACCCCCAAGCACCACGCCTTCCGCCTCGTTGTTGTATGCATGTCAATCGAGGCGTTGTCACCCGCCCCCCGTGGGAAACTAACAAGAAAAAAAAATCCAGACCGACAGAGGTCCATCCCCCTCTCTCTCTCTCTGTCTCACTCTGCGCCTATCTCTGTCTGTCCAGCCACATATCATGCACATATTGTCCTCACTCATAACCATACATTAGCTAGATCGTAGTGCCAGGACTTGGCCCTTCGTCCCGCGTCAATGTACCATGTCATGTGTGCCGAACCGAATCGAATCGAATCGAACTTTGACCCCGTCACACTCACACCTACGCCGACACACTCGCACACTCTCTCGGGTCGAGCGCGAACTTCACCTACTTTAAGGACCCCTCAGAAGCAGCCTCAGCTACAAAAAAACTATTAATACTACTACTAAAATCCCACATCCAAACCTAAACCCCAAATCAAAACCAACCAACCCCTCCGCTCCACCCTTAAAATGGGCGGTAAAACAAAAATCCCCCCTAACCGCACCCTCAGTGAAACGCTAAGTATCTGAATCTGAATCTTAGAGGTGCCCGCGATCCACTGACCCCCGAATCAACCCTCGCACACAACCGAACATTGGAATATGACCCCTGTGTGAGACCCAAAAACCGTTCCCCAGCACGTTTAATCTACCGCACATTTGGTTCCTTTTAACCGAAACCGAACCCAAACCCTGAACCCTGAACCTTGAACCCCAAGCCCCGAACCCTTAACCTTGAACCCCCCAAAAAAACCAAACCCAATCGAACCCAACACAGGCAACGGTGCTGCGATTGAGTTTGAAAAAAAGAGACACTAGTGACAACCGCAAGAAAAAATTGACAACTTGCAACTAAAAACCAAAATAGAAAAAAAAAACCGAAATAACTAAAAGAGAAAATCAAAATAATACTAAACATTTTATATATACAACAAATCAATCAGGCCAAACATGTTTCAAAATTTTGCTAAACTTAACAAACAAATTAAGAAAATCACAATCAAAATCGAAATCGAACGAAAAAAAAATCTGAACGCTGAACAAAATTGGAATTGAAGTCGAAATTGAATCGAAAATCGAGAAATGCGAATCGAATCGAAAACAAGACAAGACAAATTGGTTTTAAAAGCATCCACGAAATTCGTGACAAATTACCAACGATCAGATTACACCTAAATTGGCAATCAAAAAAAAAAAAACAGACACCATAAAATTATTCACCAGTTTACAAGGTCGTTCCCAAAGTCGTGGCAATGGCAACTGCAACTGCAATCGTGGTTGCAACTGCAATTGCCACCGATCGGATCGATCGATTTTTCCGAATTCGAAACGAACCGAAACGAAATTCAATTCGATTCGAGCTCGAATTCGAATTTAAGCCGAGTTCCCCACCTGCGGCATGAGAACTGTGCGAATTCGAGTTTAACAACAACCACTACAAAACTAGCCACAGCAACAATAACAACAACAACAACAGAAACAGCAACAGCTACAGCAACAACAACAACAGTCAACAAAACCGTTTTATTACCATTTTATTTCCATGCGTTTTCCCCAAAAAAAAAATCAATAAATAAACAAAAATGGGAATGAAAAGCCAACCCGAAACCAAAACCAAACCGAAAGCCAAAAAAATCGAAACTCCGAAAATGCAAAAATTGCGAATCGCACTCCGAATTTGAATCTGAACTCGAATCTCCGAGAACAGCAGCGTTTTTTTTGGTCAAAACCAAAACCAAGCCAAAATGTTTTAAGGAATGCGTTCGCAAAAAAAAAAATGATGAAATTAACAAAAGCAAAATATTGAATAAACAGTTTGAAGCAAAGTTAGCAAATTTACATTGTTTTGAGCCTGGATTTGTTAGTGTTATAAAATTAAAACAAAAAACATACAGAAACAGATACAGTTACAGATACACTGACAACGACAGTTACGATACACTAACACCAAAAAAAAAAAAAAAAAAAAAACAAGACCAGACTACAACCACACACAACCAACTAAACAACAACAGAAAACCCAAACAAACAAACAAATAACAACAAAGTCAAATATACAGAAAAGTCACTATTGTCTCTTTTTTTCTTCTCTTCCTTTCTAAATGACCGTTTAGGTGGCAGCACCGGCAGCCTACTCGGCGGCGTCATAGTGCCCGGCGGTAGTGGTGGTGGCACCCCTAGTAATAGTAGTAGCAACAACAACAACAACAACAGCAACAACCAACAACAAGTAGAACAACAGTCATCACCACACCAACTCCTCCAACAACAACATCATTCCACACCACATACCAACAGTCCACAACAACAGCAACTGAAGCAGGAACAACTACAACTCAAGTCAGGAGGAAGCAGCAAGTCGAGCGACCTGCACATTGCAGCTGGCAGCGAACGTAGCCTATCCCGATCCTCGCAGGGATTGGCCGAGGCAGGCGGTCACAGTGCCACGCCCTCGCCCTCGCCCACCGCCTACCACAAGCGGGAAAGGGAGCGTGAGAGGGAGCGAGAGAGGGAGCGAGAAAGGGAGCGAGAAAGGGAGCGTGAGCGTGAGCGGGAACGAGAACGATCGATGGATCGCGAGCGTGACCTCGACCGTTCCACGGGCGGTACGGGCGGAGGATCGCCACCGCCGCCACCGCCCTCGCATCACTCGCACTTTGGCCAGCATCCGCTGTCGCTGCTGCCCAGCCACCATCAGCTGCATGCCACCCACCACGAGCTGAGCGCCGCCGCCGCCGCTGCCGCCCACCATGCCCACGCCCATGCCCATGCCGCCCATGCGCATGCATTGGCCCGCGCCGGATCGCCCCTGGAGCACCATCACCTGTTGCACCATCGACGCGCCTCGCTCTCACCCTCGGGAGCCGCCGGCGTTGGTGGAGGCGGCGGCGGCGGTGGCGGCGGCGGCGGAGGACGAGGTGGTGGCGGAGCGGGTGGACCCGGCGGACCGGGCAGCAGCCTCCTCTCATCGGTACGCGCCCAGGATGTGGCCCAGGCCAATAGGCTGCTTCTGCCCCTGCCGTTGAATGCCTGCCATCGGTGCGACGTCTGCGGCAAGTTGCTGAGCACCAAGCTCACGCTTAAGCGCCACAAGGAACAGCAGCATCTGCAGCCGCTGAACAACGCCGTATGCAATCTGTGCCACAAGGTCTTCCGCACTCTGAACTCGCTGAACAACCACAAGAGCATCTACCATCGCCGCCAGAAGAACCATCATTCGTACTTCCATCACGGAGCCGGTGTGGGTCAGGCGGGCAGTCCGGGCAGTCGGCTCCATCAGTCGCTGAGCTCGCTGAGTGCCGCAGCGGCGGCGGCCAATAATAGCGTTAATGTGGGCGGCGGAGCGGTGGGCGGGGCCGGTGGCAATGCCGTGGCCGCTGCAGCGGCAGCAGCAGCAGCTGCCGCCGAATTGCTCCTCTCGCCAATAGTTGGAGCCGCCGCGGTGGCCGGTGGGACGGCCAGCTCTACGCTCCAGCTGGCGGCGGCGCATCAGCAGCAGCAGCAACAGTCATCGCCGGGCATTGTCAAGCCGTGCATGGACTTCTTATAAGATCAGCAGCAACTCTTGCAGCAGCTCTTCCACGTGGCGCTCAACAACTCCGCGGCGGCAGCGGCGGCTGCAGCGGCAGCAGCTGCGGCGGGTGGCGGCGGCGGCGGCGGAGGATCGGGTCCCGGAGCGGGAGCTGGGCAGGAAGCGATGAACGGAGGCGGTGGAATCGGAGTCGGAGTCGGAGGACAGGAGTACGGAGTCGGAGGAGTGCAGGGGCCAAGTGGCACGCCCACTGTCGATCTCACACAGCTGGAGCATTCAGGCGGAGGCGGAGGATTCCAGCACCATTTGCCACACCATCTAACCCACCAGCATCCGCTGTCCCACCAGCATCCCCACCAGTTAGCGCACCCGCATCCCCATCCGCACCAGCATCCATATGAACGCATGAATTTACTAGACCAATAAGCCAGGCGCAGGAAAGTATGCTACGAAAGATGATCGGGCAACACCAGACACACGAACACGCACACTCGCACACAGACACAAATCAAGAAGAAGAAGGAGGAGGATAAGGACAAGGAGGAGAAGAAGAGGAATTACGAAGCAAAGCGGAGGAGAACCGACCGAACGACAAAGAGGAGCACGATGAGATTAGGGACTACTACTACTATACCATTTAAATTTCGGATCTCACAGAACGGAAAATTCAAAGACTTTTTCGGCCAGAACAAAAACGGAAATGAAAGAAACCTAAAATACAAAGGCAAACATCGAGACGAAGCAATGATAACGATGATAAAATAAAAGAAAGTGAAAGCAAAAGGAGAGGAGAGGAAGACAAACAAAAAAAACATTTTTAGGCAAATGGAAAAACTGTGATTATTTACGACTTGATTATAAAGCAAGCAAAAACAAAGGTCTTTTACGATAAAGCTATATAGCTCTTTATACATACATGCAAACAAACAAACAAACACACACACACTCTCAAACACTCAATGAGATCGCGCTGGAATCGGAGGACTCGGAATCCTGGGCAGGACACGTATACATATAAGCATTTTTTTTGCCCATCCCAAATTGGGATGCGATTAGAGTTTGTCACGTTAAAAACTAGATTAGGAGAAAGCGGAGCTCCAAAGCTTGGAGCACAGGATAGAAGACTGTTAACCATGCCACATGCCACCCGCATACCCACACACCCACATACCTACTACCCACCAATCCACCCACTACCACACATGCCACGCCCCATTGAACACGTACCCCTAAGTATTACCCATAAAAAACGCCAGATGCCAACGCCATCGAACTGAACATCCGAACCGACCTGAACCCCCCAATCGATAAAGATGTGGATACGAATGCAGCCGGGGATCACAATGAATCTGCATCGGAATTACTGAATCGATGTGCTATGCGTCATGTCCAATTATCCCCATCATCTGTACAGCATCTAACTATTCTATCTTCCTCACATTTGCATACTATGAACACCAACCACACGCCCATAAACCGAAAAAAAACATACAACTAATGCATTTTTTTTGTTTTTTTATTATCATTGTAAGATATCAGAGATATATATATATAAAAAAAAACATATGTGTACATTTAGCAGCCACTAAATATTCATCAAATGAGTAGCAAGGTCAATGTAAAAACCACAAGAATGTAAACCTAGCCCTAAGTGAATGTGTGTGTAATACGATTTTTTTTACTTATCTACAATTAAAAGCGTTGCTCTTAGGAAAAAAAACACACACGAGTATACATTTGTACATGTATTTGCATAACTATGAATACGAATATGGATATATATATATATATAACTAAGACTATGACTCAGCATAACGCATACACAGCAAAACCATAAATCAATTTTGAGATAAAAGTCAAAAGCGAGGTGATCAAAGATTGTATATAGGTGGAAATAGCACTGAGGGGGTTTATGATTATGATGATGGGAAGAGTTCATGCGCGTTTCGAAGCTTGGATAAAGAGAACGGGGAAACGGGGACCAGGACTGACTAGTTTTAAACTCAACCGAAGAAGAACGATGAGCGATCATCGATAAAAGTTAGCTGATAGCTCAAAAAAAAATGAAAAATTCGACAATGAACAATGAAATTGTTGGTCCCCAGTTGATATGTTGCCACTTACTATACATACATATGTAGTACTATGCTTTCCAATTGGCAGACTTCGCGACACTAAATGCATAATCAAAATTAGCGACCAGATATTTATGGTATAGATTTACTTTGCTTTCAGCACACCTTACCTTAATTTGAAGACTGATTATTCGAAGTAGAACTTTGGAAGGGGCGAGGACTAGAACTAGAACAACCCGTAGCAGAAGCAGTCAGGCAGAGGAACCGCAGAACGGCAGCGAACGACATTATTTTTAGGCGCGTGCAATTTCATCTTGGGTTTTTGGGTTGGGGTCCCCCGATTGGGGATAGCGTTAGGAAGGATAGCTAGGAGGAGTGCAGTAGCCTTAGTTAAAAGTCACACCTATATGACCTATTTAATATGTATATGTAGGAGAGAAAAGAGAGATAGAAAGAGGGAGAAAGAGAGAGTGGAAATGAATAGTTTGAGCGCTGAAACGTTGTGTGCGAGTATAGTCGAATTTTATTTTTTATACAACCTATTATATTTAACTCTTAGTGTAACTCACCCACGCATAATCTAGGCGCATGGCGAAATTTCTATTTCCCCAATGTATGTATTTTTTTTCTTGCTTCTTTTGGCAAACGAAAAGTCTGAAAAGTTGATTAAGTTGAATCACCCACGTTTTGATACCAAAATTCGATTTACATAGCTTATGCACATACGACTATAATAAGTTATACCGTACGAGTACACCCTTAACTGTGTCTGTATCTGTATCTGTATCTATCTATAAGGAGAACCCTCCGTTTGTTATGCTGGAACCCAAGCGATCAGAAATCGCCAGCTGCAATGCCATATATGTAGAGCATCCGAGTGCTGTCCCCAGCTCTCCGACCTCACCCCCAAATGTCACCTCGTTTTTATTATATTCAATAAATGTGGAAATGTAAATCCAGACTTATTATGTATGAGTACTGAGAGTCACATAACAGTTCGAAGAAGATAAAATGTCGCAGCTTTGCACTTTAAATGTCGATTATTTAAAACATGTACTACTTGCTAACAAACAAACTAACAAACTAACAACTAACAGACATCGCAGATAACAGTTCACAAGCCCCAGAGAGTGTATGAGAAGGTACATCATGTGAGTACAGAGCCCAGAGCCCATAAACTCAACTAACTAAACTGAGGACCTAACCAACTAACTAAACTAAATAGCATATTGATACTCGAAATAGCAGCAGTAAGACCTCGATAAGCGGGGAGTCCTAACAGAATACCGAAATACGAAAATACCGAAATCCAAAAACCCAAAACCGAACTCAGAATACCGATTAAACAATACCGAATAATCAATAGTAGGTTCGCCTGTTTAACGTGTGTACTATGACTACTTTTTTTTCCTATTCGTATAGATGTTCACCCCCTAGCCCCTAGTCCATAGCCCCTCCCCTTAACCGCAAATCGCAAACTTTCCTAATCCCTTTCCAGTTAAGTGAATGTATGCATACTGAACCGTATTATCCAATGAACCATTAGCTCCAAGCCACATAAAGCTTACAATTACAATTACATTAACAACTACAATTACAATTACAATTACAATACGCGATATTTAAAGAAAATAAACTAAACTACAGTAACAGTAACAGTGCAGTAACTACATGGCTATACGTACATAAGTAAAATAGCAAATCCGAGGTAGCAAGAAAGAGAAAAGGGCGGCTTACCCCCAAAACATTCAATCGAATATGCATAGAAATAGAACCCAGACGGTGTTGGGTGAAGAAAGGATGCGAAGGGAAGTGATTGGGATCACCCAAATGATCCTCATTCCATTCCATTCAGCTTCTTTCTGCGCTCAGAATCAGAAAGACAAGCCAATACAATAAAAAAAAATATCTCATATAGTTGCAAACACTCGTACACAAACGCTTGCATACTTATAACAGTAGAAATATAACCCATACCAATATCCGTAACCACCACACCCACACCTCAATAGAACTCGAAATCGAAGCTGATCGGAGATCAAGCTAATCCAATCCAGTCCAATCAAAAAAAAAGAAGAAAAAAAACAGCATTAGTATAAAAACAGAAGTTTCCTTTGGCGACGAGACTTTCCAATTGTTTGTTTTTTATTCCCCAGAAGCTCGAACTCGAACTCAAACTACAATAAAAACTATTAAGTTTTCCACTCTAGCCTAGTAAGAAATGTACATTTTTGTCTCCTGTACGTTCACTTGTATATAAGCAAGGTGCCAGCACTAGAACTAACCCAACACACACACATACATATATATGCAAAGCAAAATAACAGAAACGAAAAACTTTGGATAATTAATAATTTGATGTATTTGTGTAAGTGTCAAGCAGACAACTCTAAGGAAAAGCTATAGCAAAAGCAAAACCAATACCAAAACAAACAACTCCGAACCGAAAATAAGAGAGAGGAATGAAACCCCGTTAATTTCGTTATACGTAAATCGGAAAAGAAAGTTCATTAAAATCAGTCGAACGAAAGACACTTAAAAAAAAAGAAGTAATACGCAACGCAGACACATTCACACACACACTCAGACAGACAGAAGGAAAAACGAAGTATTTTCATAATTAAAAACAAAATGATATCGTGTTATTATTTAAATAAATAGAATGTATATAAGTGAACCATTGTACGTGCCGAGGATTTCTTTCTTAACCCACCAACCTGGTTGTCCTGTTGTGCTGTTGTTCCTGGGTCACCGAAATGGAACTTGGAATTGGGAATGGGGAACTGGGAACATGGGGCGCTTCTTTTCTGACCCTCCCTTGACCACGGCCTTGACCCCGGCCCTGACCCCGACCATGAACCCAACCCTTGAACCTGTGTTGCCATCTGTGCGAGTGTCTGGTGCTGGGACCATTCATTCAGTCCACTCCACTTCACTTCATCCGCGTAGAATGTCGCCTAACCTTGTCATGGTCGCCGCTCTCAGTGTCCCCAGTCGATCATCGAGGCCTAACACCAGTGCGCTATATTAATCCAACATTGCCTTACCACCACCCACCACCCACAATCCACAATCCACCCACAATCCCCACCCCACCCACTACCACACGATAACTGATAACTGATAACGCTAGATGTAACCGTAACTGTTAACTGTTAGTCGATAACATGGGCCACTTACTCATCACCAGCCGCCATTGGTAATGGTGCACCACTCCAATCCCACAATCCAATCCAATCCACTCAGCTCACCCCATTCCGGCTCCAAAGGAGTGCAGCGGTGGTGCAGCGACTGGACTGCAGTAAAATATATATATCTATATCTATAATTTTAATTTGTTTTTTATGTATGTATATGTAATGTTATTTATTTATGTCTTTTGCCATTTTGCCACATGCCAGACACTCGACACACACACCTGCAGTTGTTTTAACCCTCTGTGCTGCCGGGTGGCTATTCATGTGTGGGCAGCATTCATTAGAAACATTTCAGTTCCTACACCCCCCTAGTCACAGCCCAAAAAAAACCCCCCAGCGTAAGAATGGTCCAACGAATCGTGACCAAAGCCCTGCGTGTATATGAAGTACATACTATGTATACAATATCGGTCATTTTTCCTGTAGTTAGGATAAGAGGTTCCAAAACCACTAGAACCAACCAATACCAAATACCAATCATACCAAATCCAAATCCACCAATCCACCAATTTGCAGGAAACTCGCCCAAGAAACTCTTCTCATGCCAGCTCTGCGGTAAGCTCCTCTGCTCGAAAGCCTCGCTCAAGCGCCACATTGCCGACAAGCACGCCGTGCGCCAAGAGGAGTACCGATGCGCCATCTGCGAGCGCGTCTACTGCTCCCGCAACTCGCTAATGACGCACATTTATACCTACCACAAGTCCCGTCCCGGCGAAATGGAGATGAAGGACATTAAGCTCTATAACCAGTTCAACTCGTCGATCTGAGACTTAACGCCCTTGCCGGGTCGCCTAACCAGCGTGCCGCAGCAAACTCAGCAACAGCATCAACAGCAAAAGCAAAAGCAACAGTCAACCTTAGCGAAGAAAGCCAGCACGACCATGACCATGACCATGACCAGTACCAGTACCACCACCACTCCAACACCGACTTTGACTTCTACCTCAACTGCAATGACAGATCACCCGGATCGTTCCGATGACGGGCTTTCTATTTATCCAAAGCGACCAATGCCGCTGGACGATCAGTACCAACTGCTTATCCAGCAAAGACAGATAATGACGCTGTATGACTACTACCTCTATCAGCGTAACAGTCACAGTCACAGTCAGAGTCATAGTCACAGCAGCAGTCACGGCCCTTCGATTGCCACCACGAGCAACTAGAGACATCGACTAGAACCTTAGCTCAAAACTTAAAGCAATGCCATTATGTAGTGATATATATACATACCTATACATCTACCTACCAATCTATTATACACGACGAACAAAGAGAGTAGACCCCATTATTATTATTAGGAGGGGTAAGACGATTACGAACAATATATATTATATGCTTAACAAATAACAAAATACATTAGACATTAGGTAAGCTAGTTATAGGAGGTCGTTTGGAAGTCTTTTAGATTATAGTTAGATTAGCCAGATCATCCTGTAGACTTGCTGACTTTTTCACAAACTCATGCCTATGGACCAGTATAAAGATTACGGATATACACTATTTACACTCTGTGGCCTTCTTTTACCTTATACCTCATACAACGTACTCGTAGTCAATTTTACAAATATAGCTCCTTTCGTGTTAATGTTAGTTCGAAAACGGACGGACCTCGCACAAGTTGCCTTTCTGAATATCTACGTAATTTCTCACTCGACCTAGACAAGCTACCGATTGAACAGATTGTAACGCGCTTTCTTCCGTAACATAAATATACTATTATAAAAAAAAAAATAATATTCAATCATAAATATATATATATATATATATATACATAATATGACTCGAAGACGAATAGTTGATAATGGAAAGTAAAGCACAACTTAGGCATAAGTCCCCCAGTTCGCCGATCAACTTGTGCCTAGTGCTATAAATGCTGCATCAACGACAACAACAACAATGGCGTGGCATGGTGCGGCTCGGCTTGGCTCAACAACAACAACAACTACCACCAGACAACAGGCCTCACATAAAACACAATTTATCGAGCGGAGAATGAGACACAAGACGCCAGTCACTAGAGACCCAGAACCCTGAATCCTGAAAGCGGAAAGATGTGAGCTGGCTCCAATTGACCTCGTACCTTGATGTAATGATGATGTACCAGTGTACCAGAGCCGCAACTTTAACTTCACTCGCTACCAGCGACTCGCTACTCGCACCCGCTACTCGTTAGTCAGTCAAAGTAGAAGATCGCGCGCTTGCTAAAGGTTAGCCCAACATCTTAAACTACATTGGTAGCCAAGTATCCGACCATGCGCCGATACGTAGTTAGTACATTACATGCTATCTCCCTCTCATGGCCTCGATCTACACACTGTCTCACTCTCTCTTGAGCCCCAGCCATCTCTACTCGGCTGTATCTGAATCTCAATCTGAATCTGAATCTATCTGTACACGTATCTCTTTCCACCTCTGTATCTATCTTCTATCTACTTGCCATACACACTAACGATCCATCGAGCGTGCCTCGCCACCTCGGTGCTATCGATACACTATACTCTGTACAAATTGTTTCTAGATGCAAACAATTAACCAGACCAACCACTGTGGTATATCAGCGTTGGTCAGCTTGCCACTAAATCTACGCACTCTCCTCGTCTTAAAGCGCCGCTCTGGCCACCATCCGCCTAAGTACTCTTATGTATATTTTAACCATTGTATATTGCCTGCTCACTCGCGCTCCGAACTCGCCTCCCTGCTCTCGCTCTCGTTCTCACTTTCCACTAGACTCGCCGTAGCTATAGCCTAACCTCTAACCACTCATGTACAAAAAACATCTGCGACCTGTAAGTACGACCCACTCACTCGCTACCGTAGTCGATCTCGATCTCGCTCTCCCTCTCCCCTCTCTCTCTCTTCGTTTCCTACTCGCTCTGTCTTCTATTACTCGCTCACACGCCTAACAAGTAATAATCCATATAAAATCAGTGCGTTCACCTATCTTTCTTCCTACTGCTCTACTCTACTACTTTATAACTCCCTGTCTATCTGAAGCTTTACTAACCGTAGTGACCAGAGCGATCTCGCTCCTCTTTGATTGATTTGGACATTTTCAGCTCAAGTCGCGAGAAGATTCGCCCGGATGCGGGGGAATCCCAATCCTCCAACTAACAGTCCTCTCTCAGCTCCTCTGTACATCTGACTTCGAACCTCTGCTCCTCTTACGCCGCGTTGACTTGGCATCTGCGTTTCCAGTACTCGTATTGTTGTCTCTTTCCTCTCTCTTCCTCCTTTCTCTGTCTCATTACCTATTGTTCCCTATGATGCAACTGTACAAATAAGCAACATATGTAAAAAGAATACTTATTTCAACTATAAATATAGAATTACGAAAATATAGAGAACTAAAAATGGATAAAGAACGCTGCAACTACAAATACATAGATCCTTAGATAACAGTCTCTTCAAATAATTAACTTTTTGTTTTGGTAAGTTTGCGTCGTTGGAGGGCCACGACAAAATAAACATACATATGTACATACCATATGTAAACCGAATCCAGACTCGCCACGCTTCCACCACGCTTGATCTATCAAAATCGAGTCGGGGCCCAATTACTAACTGCAATCATAGTTTATCATTTACTTACCGCTTTCGTTTTGTTCAATTTCCCTAATTTACTTGCAAAAGAAAAGCAAAAAAATACTAAACCAGCCTAACCAAATGAAACTGAAACCGAAACAGAAATCAGCCAAATTGATTGAAACCGACGAGTGAAAGCTCGCAAGACACATCTGAAATCGATATTCGAAATGTGATTAGCTTCTAATTTAGTCTAATGTTTATTGCTTTACTTTTGATTCTTTGCTCTCGCTTGCCTCTCTGCATGCCACTCGCAACTCGCTACTTGCTACTCGCTTTGCCTCATCACCACTCGCTGATCGCTTGCATGCGTGTGATTTCATTTGCTTGCTACCCTACATTTCCATCACGCACATATCCTCTCAAATACACCCCTACCCACACCCACGCATAGACACTCATACATACACACACATACGTATGTGTTTTGATTGCATGTGCACTTTGTTTGGTTTTGTAGTGTAACTCGTTCGTACCTCCTAATGTATATATATGTACAATCGGTTGTTAAATAGCCAAATTTCCCTATTTACGCCTACGAAGTAGTAACAAGTGTATAATGTACAGACCAGTTAAAAAAAGAAACACTCCAGATTCCAGAATCTCAGACCCCTGTCGAATCCATCTGCTCGTTGGCACATGCATGAACATTCCCCAGTTCCAATCCGATTGGGAATTGGGATTTGCCAGCACCAGAAATTCGACGGGGGCGCTGAAAAGTGGTATCTTTAGTAGGAAAGCAGTTAGTACAATCAAGTAGAATTCCTTCTCTGCCATAACTTCACACATATGCAAATAACATAAGCTCAGACATGCTAAAGAAAAACAAAACTATCAATATCAAAATATCAAGGTCCAAACGTATCAAGCCATTGACAAAATTAACCGCTTCCGTTTCCGATCCGATGCGTTTCCGATTCGTTCTCTAGAGAAATGTATAAATAACTGAAAAAACAAAATAGAGCGCAACGAACCGGAAACCAAGTTCGGAATAGCCAATGTAGTGGCAAAGAGCTTAAAATCTGAACTTGAAACCGACACATGCATTTATCTTTACCTTTATAATAAACACACATATATATTCGAGTATTAAACTATATAACGCTTTACCTCTACTCTCTGCTAGCAACCAATAAAAATTCAATTCAATTCAGGAAGTTCTTAGTGCTAAAATAGAGCATTCAAGCATTTACTACCTACCGTATTTTATTTTAAACATTTTCCTCTATCCTGTCCTGTCCTCTTAAAGTCCCCCCTCCCACCAATCCTTTCGTATCCCCATCCTGTTCGAACCAAATTGACAAATCTACCATGTATCTTCACCCTTTTAACGTGCACTTTTATTTTCATACTTTCTGAACAAAACCACAAAAGCAATATAAATATCAATACCAAAAAAACCGATAAATAAGCCTAAACCAGTTTGAATTGATAAGACCTCCACAACCCCTATCAAGCAACCCTATCAACCAACCAATCCACCTCTGTAGCCACAATGCCCAGTCCAAAAACCCACTAACGCCTCTCTTTTTGTATCTCCTGTGCAGGACCGCACAGCATCAGCCGCTCTGCAGCGACCTCGCCCACCAGTTCTACCTCATCGCCGCCGTCGCCGCCCACAGCGCTGACCTCGCCCACAAGTTCGCTGAATGGTAGTTTGGCCGCCGCCGTCTATAACCTGCATCATGGTCATGTTTTGGGGCATGCCACATCACCGCCGCGTCCTGGCAGCGTGGGCAGTAGTGTGGGCAGCAATCTCTGCACCTCCTCCTCATCATCCACGGGCAACAACAACAACAACAACAACAATGGCAGCAGCAACAACAACAACGGCAACAGCAACGCTTCGAGCATGAACAACAACAATAACAGCACGAGTCCTGGCAGCCAGTCAGCCGGACAGGCGTCCGCAGGAGGCGGTGGCGGAGGCGTGGCCCAGACGGGCACACCACAGCTACCGCTTCGTATGCCACCACCCACCAGCGGGGGCATCAATGAGCCCCAGGAGTGCCCCTACTGCCGGCGCACCTTCTCGTGCTACTACTCACTGAAGCGGCACTTCCAGGACAAGCACGAGCAATCGGACACACTGTATGTGTGTGAGTTCTGCCATCGGCGGTATCGCACCAAGAACTCCCTGACGACGCACAAGAGCCTGCAACATCGTGGCTCCAGCGGCATGTTGAAACGTCTGCTCAAGACATCGGCCATCAAACACGGGCTGGTGGGACACAATCATGGCCATGGGCATCATCCGCATCCGCATCATCATGCATTGGCGCATCCGCGAACCAGCCTGTTTGATTTCACCAGCGAGCTGGGACAACCGCCGCCGGGCATCCAATAGGAGCTAAGTTGGAATGCCATCTTTTAGAGAACGAAACTGCCGGGTGTACCATCATACCATGATCAGCATGACCACCAGTGAGCAGCAGCCAAGACCAGCTACAAATACTTTGCCCATTGTTTTTACGCACTGGACCGAAGATCCCCAATCCTTGGGAGTCCCCAGCTTGCAACTAGGTCTTAGCTAATTAATTATTAAGCATAATTAGGCATTTTTTGGCGTCAACTGTTTTATTATTCTTATCCCTATGTTAGGTAATTATTACGATTATTATTATTATGATTAATTATTATAATGAGAACCAGAACCATTTTTTTTTTATGTATCCCCCTATCTTATCTATGCGTACTATATACATATATTAGTTATTTTGTGCTGCTCTCACCTACTTAGTAGTTGAAGCACCTTCGCTGCTTCATGTGCAATACCTCAAGAATCGTGTAAATAATTTCGATAAATCATAAATACCTCTGGAACTGCGCACGAGCAGGCCAAACAAAACAAAAACAGCGTGAAGTTGCGTTTAAAGAATACTTATTAGAGTTAGAGTTATGTTACCATTTTTAACGACAACAAACAAACAAACAAAAAAAAAAACACAAAATGGGAAGAGAAAGAAGGACTAGAACACACACACACACACTTACACACATGTTGGGGGCGTGACCCGAGGGGGGCGGGAACGGATGGAGCAATAACGGTACATATCATATAATCTGAATCTGCAGCATAAACTAAACCTTCAGATGAAGCTGCATCCGAAAACGCAAACGAATCTTAAATAGAATCTGAGCCACCTGTCGGGC